CACTCAAATTCAGGCTCTCATAACCTCTCTCATGGACTATAATAATTGCTTCATATTTGGTCTTCCTGACTCAAGTCTTTTCATTCTCTAATTCATTTCCCACTCAATTACCCAAATGTTTTCTTAAGGCATATGTCTGACCATGACATCCAACATACATTCAACAATTTTGCTGATTTATTTCATGCTCAGAAAAGTCTGGAGGCCACTGCATTAGATTACTTCTCTCAAGTTTAACTGTGCCCTCATCCTCTGCTACACTTACCTCAGCCAATCAGTTAGTTGTTCAGTCAACAAGCATTTATTCTGTGCCTACTCTTTTCTAGGCACCTTGTTAAACTCTAGGAATAAAAAGAAAAGACAAAAATAAACAAAAAACCTGTTCTTATAAAGCTTGGCCTAATGAGAGACACACATTTTAATTCCTAGTGAATTTCACACATATTGCTTCCCTCTCTTTGCAAAAATCAAGCTCTTCCCCTTTCATCTTAATCCTAATTTTTGCTGATGGTTATCTCCTTTCTTTATCTACTCCCAGAAGAGAGCTCTGGGATCCTTGAAGTGGCCCTGCTGATGAGAAATTTGTTTAATTGGGAGTCCCCTGGGAGAAAGAGTAGAAAAGAATCAGTAGAATAAATATTTCTGCCAGATCAGTTTTTCTGACAAAGGATCTTACCAGCTTCTGCATACATTATCTGCTCTTGTTTATTCACTTTTCAGATAGAAGGTCCTAGACCGGGCCACAGGTCCAGTTTAACTGGATTCTTCATCCATCACTCTTGTACTTCCAGGTATTAAAACATTCTTTCGCATCTTTCTATTAGAACATGGGCAAAAATCATGGGAAAAGAGTAGAATGAAGCAAAAAAGGGAGATAGGTTAGGATAAGAGGGATTAATTTGGGGTCAGAAATTCTGAAAACTCTCCAGTCCTTAAATAATCAAACCTCACTCTCTGGTCTTCAGTGATCATTGACACCTAGCTGGACTTACCTTTTTCTCCCTCCATAAAACAAAACAATCTCAAATTAATTTTGTGTGTGTGTGTGTATGTATGTATGTATATATGTGCACACACAGGTATATACGTGTACACATACATGTATATATGTGTACACATACATGTATATATGTGTGTGCATACATACATATACACACACAGACACACACATTCACTGAGGTCTTGCTAATGCTCTCAGTGAATTATTTTCCAGTACACGTGTATTCTTGACTTTTCTCCCTCACTTAGGTACTCATTCATCACTTCTCCATCTCCTGGGGCACCATTCTGAAAAAAAAATTATCTGCACTAGATGATGACTAAATCTCAACTTAGTGTTTCCTCTTAAGTATAATTCTTACAAATCCCAATTTTTTTCCTCTTACTTCTTGTGCAGGTCTAAGGAATAATTATTATATTGACCTTGTGCTCTTTACTTTAAAATGAAAGTTTTAGACTCAGTGACCTTGAAAGACCCTTCCAGTTCTAAGTAGTTTTTACAGTCATTCAGTCATATCTAATTCTTCATGACCCCATACACTATTCTGTCCATTGAGTTTTCTTGGCAAGGTTACTGTAGGGGTTTGGCATTTTCTTCTCCAGATCAAGGCAAATAGAAGTTGAGTAACCTGTCCAAGAAGTAGGTGTCTGAGGTTGGATTTGGAATCAGGGCTTCCTGACTCCAGGACTAGACCTTTATCCATTGAGCCATGTAGCTGCTTCACTTCTAAATATCGGACACTATGCAACTTGCATTCTGGTATCAGCAACAGCAAAGGAATGCACACAAAATGAGAATAATGGCAAATACAAATGGATGGCCAAGACATTGTTAATGTGTTTAATTGAGACCATATGAATTTATTGAAGCCACCCAATACTCTTAAGTATTTTGTATTTTAATATAAGAAAGGTTTAGTGAGCAAATAACGAGTAATCAAAGAAGAATGATGTGTGTGTGTGTGTGTGTGTGTGTGTGTGTGTGTGTGTGTGTCTAATCTGGGTAAAGTGCTATCTGTACCTAAACTAGAACCTCTTTATGAAATTCCTGACCAGTGGTCATCAAGCATTGTTTAAAGGCCACAAGCAAGATGATACTGTATAATTTTAAATCATCCCACTATGCAACAGCTCTGATTATTAGAAAGCATTTTTTTTCCCTTTGGGATAAAATGTGGGTCTGCTTTCCTTCTGTTTTTCTTTTTCATTATCCTCTGTATTACCCCTGCCACAAGCCAAAGTACTACACAGTAATAACTTTATATTCTTTGAGGAATTGAAGTGAATAGCTCCTAAATCTTTTTGCTACTAAATAACTTCCCTGCGATCTCAGTGTCATCTCTAAGAGGCACATAGCACTGTCTGCTGAACTCTTACTGGCAAGGTTTTTGTAATCAGAGATCCACAGATCCTGTCTGTGCATAGGTTTCAGGGTAATTGTGAACTTCTATGGGGAGGCACACACACATATACATACACATATAGATACAGATGATATAGATGTAGAGATACATATTAGGTATTGATATGGATATATAGATATATATATCCAGTAATGCCTAACAGAAATTTTATATTTCCTTCATTTCACCAGACTGCCAAGGGGATTCCATTAAAAACAACAACAACAACAACAACAACAAACAGGTAAGAATTCCCTGCTCTATTGGTAACTGCAGAATTACCCGTGTTCTCTGGGAGTAATCTATACAAAGTCTTTTATAGTTGCTCTAATAAAACAGTATTTCATGTTGTTATAGCATTGCCCTCTTATCTGTTATTTTATTTGTAATTTCAATGGTTTCACTAGCCCTCTCCAGGTGAGTTTTATACATTTTTTTTCAAAACCTTGCTTCTTCTTATTCCCTCATCCTCTAGAAGGATCCTTCCAGGAAAATGCCATGCATAAGGGTACTTTGTGAAACTTTAAATATTTTACACTGGTGGTGTCAAACAGAAACAGAAAAGGGAGGCAGAAGCCTCTGCTTAAAGATCCTTGTGGGCCACATATTGCCTTAGAAAATCATATATAAGCACTATCAGTATTCTACTGTATTTGTATTTATTTTGTCAAATATTTCCCAATTAGATTTAAAATTTGGTTCTGGTCATTCAGATGTGTTGTAGGTACATGTGGTTGATGCCTCTGTTTTATATTATCACTTCAAGCACTCCATTCTCTTGTCAAACTGTTCTCATTGTCAGAGAATGATTGATTGAACAGCCCAGTGTAGTATTGCAGTATAGTGGGGGAAAGCATAACTCAGAGAATTGGGGTCAAATTCTGTCTCTGACACTCACTTGACCTTAAGCAAATCACTTAATCTCTCTAGGTCTCAATATCCCTATCTTTAAAATAAGGTTTTATAAAAGATTGGATGGATTTTGAGGTTGCTTTACTTCAGTAATTCCATGACCTCGACTCTCCCTCCTAAAAATGTTTTCCTTACTATGACGGGTAATTTCAGCCCGTTATTACAATCCACACAAAAAGATCACACATTTGCTTAGTTTGCAAACTTTGCAGGCTAGATTTTCTTTGCGCAATTCTTTGAAGGGGAAATTGTCAACCAGCAATTGGTAAGACTTGGCATCTTCATGATTATTGAGGTGAAATACTTAATTAGAACTCAAAGTTGGCTATCTACTTAACTCTAAAAAGATTGTGAATTATACATCCAGAAGTAATAACTTGGTAAGAGACACAGAATGGATCATTCACTTAATAGCAGACATAAAATGGAGAACATCGGTTCAAGACTCGAGCCTCAGAGATAACTACCAGATCCTCTCTTTATTAGATGTGCGACCTTAAATAAGTCATTTCAACTTTTTATATCTAAGTTTCCTCATCTTCAAAATGATGGAATTAGAAGACTGATTAGATGATTTCTAAGGTATGATCATATTTTATTTTCCTTAGTAAATATTTTATTTGTTTTTTTTTAAAAGATCTCTATCTAGTGGATTAAAAATGTGAAGAAAGTGCTATGGCCACACCTATTCTAAGAAGTCTGGACAAATTCGGGTACCCTAGAAGCAGGCAAGAAATGGTGGGGGTGCTATAGTGAGAATAACTGCTGCTCACACAAATGTAAGATATGGGCCTTAGAAGACAGAAAAAAAAATCTTAAATAGGAACGTCTAAGCATCAGCTTGGGCTTGGGATAGGATTATAAAATAATAGATTGATATTTGGAAAGAACCTTAGAGACTACCTATTCCAACCCCCTCATTTGACAGATGGGGAAACTAAAGACCAGAAGGGTTAAGTGACTTCTACAAGGTTTCATAGGTAATAAATATAGGACATGAGATTTGAGCCAAAACTCTTTGATTCCAAATACAATACGGTTTCCCCTATACCACTTCCTCCTCTCATATGGTGTTGTGGCTTTAAATTGAAGGCAGTAATTGAGGTTGATCCAAAGATTTTATTGGTACAGTGAACTCTTGGAAAAGGAGAATCCCTATCCTAGTGCAATTCAACATCTTCACTGCAATTTATACTGTTAGAGAGCTGCCTAGCATGCTAACGCATTAGACAACTTGTCCAGGGTCACACAGCCAGTAAATGTCAGAGTCAGAGTCCAAAGTTGAACCCAGGTCTTCCAAACTCTGAGGTCACTTCACTATTCACTATGCCAAGAGAGAATATGTAAATTGAGCCCTGGATGGCTAATGATTTCTCAAAGGAAACATGCACAATAAACTCAAATCTGGATACAATTAACAAGTATCCAAGTAAGAAATCAACATATACAATAATTTACTTATATACATACTGGAAATGACTCACCATTAACACTTCTTTCTTTGATCATGTTTTCTTTTCTTTACTTTTTTTCTGGCAGATTCTAACCAGATGAACCACAAGAAGAAAACACTAATGGCATTTAACCTAAGTGCTTCCTATTTTATGATCTATTTATTCCAAGTTTCTCTCTTCCTTCTTTTCCAGGGAATAGATCCTCGGTGTCCCTAGTCAGAAGCCAAAAGGGATGACCTCTTGTAACAACTCCATTTCCCAGCCAGAGGTATTTATATTGGCTGGGATTCCAGGACTGGAGTCTTATCACGGCTGGTTTTCCCTGCCCTTCTTCTTAGTCTTCATCATTGCTCTTATTGGCAACGTTACCATCGTGTTCATCATCCATGCAGAGAAGAGTCTCCATGAGCCCATGTTCCTCCTGCTGGCTATGCTGTCTGTTGTTGACCTGTCCTTAGTCAGTGCAACCGTGCCCCGCGTGTTAGGCATCTTCTGGCTGGATGCTAAAGAGATCAACATTAATGGGTGCCTTACCCAGATGTTTTTTATCCCATCTTTCTATGTCATGGAGTCTGGCATTCTTCTGGCCATGGCTTTTGATCGTTTTGTAGCCATCTGCAATCCATTGAGATACACCACTATCCTAGCCAATAATTCACTAGTGAAAATGGGGCTGGCAGTCATAGCAAGGACTATGGTCGTGCTTACTCCAGCCCCTATCTTAGCCAAAACATTGACCAGGTTCCGAACTAACATTATTCCCTACTCTTATTGTGCCTACATGGCTATGGTACAGATTGCTTGTGGTGACATATTTAATTATATTGTCTATGGCCTCATGGTAATTCTGACTTCTATTGGTACTGACTTACTCTTTATCAGCCTCTCTTATGGAATGATTCTTCGAGCTGTCTTCCGGATCCCTTCCTGGGAAGCTCGGCACAAGGCCCTGAGTACATGTGGCTCCCATCTCTGCGTCATTGCCATTTTTTATTCACCTGTTGTGTTCTCCGTTTTGGCTCAAACATTTGGATACCAAATGCCTCCCCACTTCCAGATTATTGTAGACAATCTCTACTTCCTTGTTCCTCCCATGATTAATCCCTTGGTCTATGGGGCCAGAACCAAGCAGATTAGGGAACATATCCTCCAAGTCCTATATTGCCACCCAAAATAAGTTAGGAGACAGTAGTGATTATATTTTTAAGAAATATTTATAGATTTGGAAGGTTTGTAAGAAAGGCTGGTGGATATAATTTAAGTCATATGGAAATCATTCTTGGGAAAATAGTAGAAGTTGTTCCATGAATATGTGTCTTTTTTCTATTTTTATAATTTCTATGTCCCATTCTTGATGTATTTTGACATTATAGTCCACTAAGAATTACCAGATTCGTATTTTAAAGCTTTCTAGGGCATGACCAACTAGAACCTATAATATTTTCAGTTGTTGTTGTTGTTGTTTTGTGGAGGCAATGAGGTTAAGCAACTTACCCAGAGTCACACAACTAGTGAGTATCTGATCCTAGATTTGAACTCAGGTCCTCCTGACTTCAGGGCCTGCACTGTCTTCATTGAGCCACCTAGCTGTCCCTAGAACCAATAGCATTTTAAAATTAATTAATTCATTGTTAAATATATTGATACATTGCCTACATGCGCTTGGAATGCTGCTATATTTTATGTGTCATAGGGAGCTAGGGTGAATGCAATACAGTTTGCAACAACTGTATGACACCTATGTTTCTCTCTCTCTGTCTCTCTCTCTCTGTCTCTCTCTCTCTTTCTCCCTCTCTTTAATTCTTCAGTTATCTGGAGCCTCCTCACTTTCAGTACTCATACCATTCATTAATTCATTTTAAACATGCAATTTATGAACACCTCGCAAGACCAAAGGAATCAGAAACCCCATGACTCTAGACAGTGTGTGCCTGCATACATACAAGATAGTTAAGTATATATACTCTTTGATCATCCTGCGTTTTTATTATGCCTCGTGGGGGAGGGGGCAGTGAAGAACAGAATGGGATAGGTATACACATGGTAATTTTAGGAAAGAAAATGAAATAATAACTAGAAAAATTAGGAAACTCTTGCTGTACAAAGTGACAAGTGAGATGAGCCTTGAATAATGCTAGGGATTTTTGTTGTTTTTAAATAAGACCATTGTCCTCATGGGTCCTTAGGCACGAACTGTACTTCAGTGAGGCAGAATTGCACACAGTCGTCAGCCTCATTTTCACTTCCTTAGTCATTGAAGTCCAGTGGCAGGAAAAAATCAAGACGACTTGAGATGGCCCAGGATGCAGTGGATGACTTTGGCATCATAGATGCCTGACCAAACTTTAAGCACTCCATAACAACTCCTTCAGCTGCCTTCATGGCCATTGTAAAAAAAAAAAAATGTTCTCACTCAACCATTCAACCAAAGAAAATCTTCATATGCATAAAGGTGAAGACTATGCTCTTGGCATAGGAAACAGCTTCTTCAAAAGCATGGAAATTATCTCCAGTGGCAATTCATACTCTGGATAGCATGCATTAATTCTAACCTGAAGTTGTAGCAAAACTAAAATAACTGTCATTTCTTCCTCACTCTAAAATATTCCCAAACTAGATGTGATTATTTTTGTTCAGTAGTACTTAACCTGTGGTCCATGGATAAGTTTCATGCCATCCATGATCATGGATGAGGAAAATATTAAATCTTCCTTTTTTAGTAATTCTACGTAGTTTATTCTAAGCAACTGAGGATATTGTTCTGAGAATGGGTCCATAAGTTTAACCAGATGCCTAAAGGGGCCTATTACTTACACATGAAAAAGTTTAAAAAACCCCACTTTAGAGATAATCAAGACAGACATAGTGACTTAACTTTGGATTATCATGGAATCTTTGCATGCACTTCTTCATCTAAGAATGTGAGTTTGTGCATGGTTTTCTTTAGTTATATATTTGTAGATGGATTTTTAGGTGGTACTTCCTCCTCTCAGGAAAGTTTTAGGGACTGGAGACATAGGTTACAAGCTTATACATTGTTTTTCCTTATATTTGAATAGAATTTAAGTAGAACTTCATTCTTATAGGGATTGGTATATGTGACTACATCTGTGAAAATGAGTCTGTGTGTGTGTGTGTGTGTGTGTGTGTGTGTGTGTGATGTTTCCACTTGTTAATTCCCAGAGTTGCACGTGTTTAGTTGTTTTTCAGTCATGTCTGTTTTTTTTTGTTTTTTTTTTTTAGGCAATTGGGGTTAAGTGTTTTCAGTCATATCTGACTCTCCCTGACCCCATTTGGGGTTTTCTTGGCAAAGATACTCAAGTGGTTTGCCATTTTCTTCTCTAGCTCATTTTACAGATGAGGAAACTGAGGCAAATATGGTTAAGTGATTTGCCTACAGTCACATAGCTAGTAAGTGTCTGAGGCCAGATTTGAGATCAGGAAGAGGAGTCTTCCTGATTTCTGGCCTGTTGCTCTATCCACTGTGTTGCCTAGCTGCCTAATTCCCAGAGTACTGGCCAGTTCTGAATTTATACACAGAACCTCGTATGAGATCAATAAAATGAACCAGTGATGCTTCAATGATGAGCTCTCTGCCTTGGGCTTGCTGCAACGTTTTCTTTCTTTGTTTTTCTTTCCTTCTATATCTGACACAAATCAGCCATAGCAACTTTCCCTGTGAATCAATAAGGAAACATTAGAATGAACACCTAGGATAACTGCCACACACACTGACACTTTGGATCAGTAACTCCATATGGCTTCCAAAGAACAGCCCGACCTATGGACCAAACACAATAGGGTCTCAAGGGACTTAGTCATCAATAGACACCTGAAACAATCCATTTAATAGAACTAACATGTGGATAATGTTGTTGAGGGTCTTTTTTTATAATTCCTTGTAGTTTTCCTATTACTGTCACTAGCCTTATAATCAGCTATGCAACAAATTTAAAATAATTCATAAAATAAGTGGATGTAAGAAGGTCTAAAAATAATCAAGAAATTCCAATGAACCATGATTTGATGATTGGTAATAACAATTCCTTTCATTTTCTTAGCACTATAGCTTCCCAAAAGTATTCACACACATATTTCTCTGTGTGTGTGTGTGTGTGTACATGTATGTGTGTGTGTGTGTTTCATTGAATCATCAACTACACAGAAGACCTACTCTGATGTGCTATTATGACCTGGAGGCAGGACATAATCTTTCAGCATAGGCCTGGGGAGTGCAAACTCTGCCATGCCCTACCAAGCTTTACGAACTCTGAGTATTTGCTGAATGTCAGAATGTGACTCCATCTTCTGAACACTCCATGGGATGAAGAATTAACAAAACCGATATACAGAAGTTTAAAAAGAAGTTTAGAAGTAGACAGAAACAACACAGGGTAAGGTTATTATTTTGATCAATTTAAGATATGCCTAAAATAGGCTATGTAATGTTTATATTTTTGCCTATAATCCTTTTCTTATTGTTCTTTGTATACTTAAATTTGGATTGGTTGTTAAGGTCACAATAAAAATAGAATTAAAGAAATGAAAGCACTCTACGGTATTACATGACAGTGCTGGACAATAATGCAAACAATAGATAAATGGTTAAAAGATTTGGATTCAAGTTCTTTCTCTGCCCTTCAGATCTTGGATAAGTCACTTAATTCCTGTGGCCTTCAGCTTTCCCATTTGTAAAAGAGGGGACTCAGATTAGCCATGATTCTAATGGTTCTGCAACAGTCAATTCAATAAAAAAAAATCAAGAATGTTAATTAAATATGACAGGGTTGATTTCTACTAATAAGTTGACTTCTAGGTAGTGATTTTTTTTTCAGCTGCAACAGCTCAGAAAGGCAGTCCACTAAGGCACAGTGAACTTAAAATCTCTCCATGTAAGAAATATCTACGTGAATGAAATCTAGAATCACCTAATTTTAAGAGAAGCTCCACTAACAATAATAGTCTGAGGATAGATATTATTTTCTCCACTTCAGAGAGGATAGAAGTGGCAGTAGATGATGAACTGATACAATTATATTTGAATAGTTAGGAAATATCAGTCCCAAAAAGAGAAACCAGGTTTTCTGCTTTACATCTTGGGCTATTTTTCCACCACACTGTGTTAACCTGCTATAATAGGAGTGCGCTAATAATATGGCATCTGTTATGAAATGACAAGGACAACATGTCATTGTACTTAGCTGTGTTCAGAAATCAGATTTCTAGGATCTGTTCTTACCTTCATAAAGAAATGAGAACAGTGATATATTCTAAAGCATCAATTTAAGATGGTGAAAGGTGAGGAAATAAGATTAAAAATGGAAAACTAAAGCATCTGAAATTATCTAGACAAGAAACCTTAATGTATAGCAGGGCTTTACATGAGAGGAAGTACACATTCCTTATTTCCACTGAGGTTTTCACTAGAAAAAAAGTAGAAGGACACTGGAATACTTGTACGATTTAAAAAAATAGCTTCAAGGAAGTTGAATCATGAAACACTGGCACTAGGATCAGGGGTACCAGCCACCAGAGAGAATTAAGAATGAGAGCAAAATTACAAAATCCCATCCACATCTGTCTAGGTACTATAGAGGGATGAGATGGTTCAAAAATTGAGAGGTCACTATTGATGTTCTTGCCTCTCCTTTCCCCACAGGCACAAACATGCAATCATACATGCACAGATAAAAACATTCATGGTAAGTTCTAACTCCCTCCTCCCTTTCCTTAAAAAAATACATTGAGTATTTATTTGTGACACTCTTTTCTTTTTAGATTTTGAGTTCCAAATTCTCTCCTTCTCTCTCAAACCCTTCCCTGGCTCACCAAGAAGGCAAGCAAATGATATTAATTACACATATGAAATCATGCAAAACATATTTCCAAATAAACCATATGTCAAAAGAAGTTTTGAAAAATGAAGAAAGAAAATTGTATTTCAGTTTTCACTCAGAGTCCATCAATTTTCTCTCTGGTGGAAGATAGGTTTTTTTTTTTTTAAATCATGAGTCCTTTGGAATTGTCTTGGATCATTGCATTGATTAAAATAGCCAAGTCTTTCACAGTTGATCATCATTATAACATTGTTGTTGCTGGGCACAACAGTCTCCTGGTTCTTTTCACTTTATTTTGCATCAGTTCATATACATGTTGCCATTTTTATTTTTGAAACAT